GGGGGGCTGCGCCGGGGTCCTGAACGAACAGGGTGTTAGGCCGGACCGGCCGAAAAGGAATAACGGGCACCGAAGGCCTGGGCCGGGCGGGCATGCATGAGGTGGGTGCGGGCGGCAGCCTCGGCGGCAGCGCAAAGGAGAGAGGCGAGAGGCCAGCAGCTGATGAAAGGTGCTCAAAGCCCCTGCCCATACCAGGGAGGGGGGGGGGACTAGGGGTGTGTGTGTGTGTGTGTGTGTGAGGGCGCCAGCAGGATGTGGGAGTGCAGACAGGCTGCAGGCAGAATGGACCATAGCTCCATGGATGGGGCAGCAGGGCGCGGAGGCCGGGCGGTCGGATCGAACCTCGCACCCTCTTTTCCCTTCTACTCCCCTCCTAACTCCGCCCCCCCCCCCTTCTTTCTGCCCTTCTCGCCCTCTCTCTACTCGCCAATCAAGAATTCAAGTAACCGAACTCACTGGCCCCTTTTTATCTTTCCTGCATTTTTATTACTTAAGTCGTACAGTACAGCAAGTTTGCCTTTCGCGCCCAGGAGGGCATATGCTGCGTATTAAAGTTGCATCTTTGTGTGCTCACGCCGCGTCTGGTTCTGGCCGGCGAGCGGCCGGTCGCTTTGCGACGTTCCGAAAACGTAAGACAGCGGAGGGGGGTATACCGCGACGTCGCCACTAGATTGAAACCGAGGAACGGTGAGGGAAGCAGCAGGGGAGCAGAGGGCGGGGCCAGGAGAACGACGACAGGCTACGCAAACACAGTCGTCTCGTTGGCATTCACGTCAAAGGGTCACGCCCTGTCTGTTGGTTTTGCGCGACGAGTAAACTGGACTTGTTTCTTTCCAAGTCTGATGACGACGAACGGAGCGCCGCGCGCGCACTACAAAGGCAGGCACCAGCGGCGGCGGCTCCGGGGGAGCACGGGGCGTGGGCGTGGCGCCCGGGTCAAGACACCCACTGCTAGAAACAGGAGGCGTGCGCGTGCGCCTACATGTGCAGGTGCAGGTCATGTCACCACCCCTCCGTCCCACCACTGCGGGTTGTACAACATGAAGTGAGGGAGCGGAAGGAGACGAACAAAAACGAACGGCGTCAGAATTCAAAACATGACAAACTTACACGGCGTTTGGGGCAAATCAAAGCGAAAACCAAAACAGTTTTTCATACCCGCGTCATTCTGGATTCCGCTTGGGTTCACTTTCTTCCGCTGTAGAGGACCTCTAAAATACCCATCTCAGACAAAATCTATGCGGAAAGAGTAAGGTAAACACACACAAATGCTGATCAGCACTGCTCACCTGATTCGTCGTCGTGGAGCTTGTTGGCGTCCAGCAGAGCGGCGTTGGTGTTGGCGAGCGCGGCTGGCAGCAGCGCCAGCAGCAGTGGCACCACCAGCAGCGGCGGCGGCAGGCGGGGCGCCGCGGCCGCCATCGTGGAGCGCATCACTTTAGTAGAGGGGCCCCGGAAAACTCCGGCTTTTAATATGCCGGCTTGGACCCGGCGCGGAGGCCCGGGGGGCCAGATCTGGCCAGACCCTGGCGCAGTGCTGATCACGTTGGGCCGCTGATCCGGACCATCGCCGCGCCGCGGCGGGCGCCCGGGCGCCGGTAGGGGCCCGGGGCGAAAGGGAGGAAGAGAGGGTGAGAGGGAGCGTCTCCCCTCACACTCACGCGCGCACACTCGCCGCGCACTTGATGATGTTATCCGCTGTGAAAGTAGTGTTAACTCCTGCGCTTCTGTGCCTGCCCGCCTGGAGGGCGGGGCGGGGTGCGGTGGGGTGCGGCAGGGCGCAACGGTGCGCGGCGGGGTGCGGCGGGGCGCGACGGGGTACGACGGGGCGGGGCGCGGCGGGCCCGCTTGCTGCCTCCCCCACGTGGAGGCGTCCCGAGGGCTGTTGATCGCACACGTCCGCGCGAACAATTCCAGTTTAACTCGTTTCCAAGCTTGGCAGCGTTCGGGGCGGCGGGAGGTCGGTGCTAACGATTACAGGGACACAGCTGTTGGGCCCTCCTCCTCCTCGGCGGCGGGGCGGCAGCAGCGGCGTCCCCCGGGTCCGACCCCGGTCGCCTCCTGGAACACAGACACACACACACGAACACTTCAATGGGCGAATCACACACAGGGGGTGCAAGGACAAAACACGGAATCCGACTCGGGGCTGGTAGCCGGGAAACGCAAGTTTAGCAATTAAATTTAGCACACGTTGGGCGTTTAGTTGTCAAAGGACCATACACAACACTTCGCAGCAGGGTCACAGTGAATCTGGTACCTAAGCCACAAGACCATCAAAATATTTTTGGAGAGTGAATGAGTTTCGAATCATATTGACATGTTGACTTTTAAATTATCTCCACTCGTAAAACAGATGTGCAATGTTACCACGCTGAAGTGTACAAATAATTACTTTTATCATTATATTGAGTCTCCCTTTGTACACTTACGAGATGAGCAGAATCCAAATATGTAAATCATGTTGAAAGTTGGCTCATTTAAAAAAGTCCAGGTCTACACAGACATTTTGACCCAAATAGGACGGAGAAACTAAACATTTTTGGGAATGTGACATATTTTGACATATAATATAGGTTGACACCAACAAGTGGAACATTTACACATCAATTGACAGGCAAAATTAAACACTTGTTTACTAGTGCTGTCACAGCAAGCAAGCGGCTTTTGACATTGACATACTACCAAGGAAGTGAATCAGTAAATGTGTGGTGCGGCCGCCAACACAGGTTATTGAGCTCCAGCTGGGAGTCTTACTAACATTGCAAGGTGCAAGGTAGGTAGATAACCTTCAACATCCACTTTTCACCTCTATCTTAATGTTCAAAATTGAATCATTACCTCAAAAAGTACTTTTTGAGCGTGACATTTAACAAGTAAGTCATTCCCTTCGTAGTTCCCCCTTCGAACTAAGGTGACTCAACATAGATTTGTTCAGTGGCATAACCTTCCTTTCTGAAGTCACAACGGAGCATTTGTCAATAGGAATCGCGCAATATGCTCTCTAAGGTTAAAATTGCGACAAAATATTCCACAAAGCTTTCTGACGTTAAAACGCTAATATGTCTAAACCCATTGAATTCAACAAATCACTAGATAGCTACAATGAATGGGATGTCGAAAGGTGAGAAGTGGATGATGACGAACTCAACTCAGCCAAACTGCTGTAGGCCTACTGAACATACCAAATATTGTCCAAAACCCATGTGGAAACATAATTTACGCTGATAAATTAAAATGCACTTGAAAACACCAATTTTAACCGAAATACAATTTGCTTTAGGCTGCCTAGCTTAGTCACATCGACTTCCGCTTCCTTCTTCTCGACTTCTTCTTCGGAAACACAAGTGTTTTTGTTTTTGTTTTTTTTTCTTGAGATGAGAAATTGTTATCCCCGAAGAAGTCCGAGTTTGGTTGACGTTGGCAACAGAGTTGTGACATGTTCGGTTAGAACTTAAGATTGAACTTTGACAGCAATATAGTGGTTGCACTTTGCATCATCTGTAATCTTCGTAGCGGTGGTATTTTTGAACTGCAACTAAACTGATTTTGTGCGCTGTCAACATGAGCACAAGTCCCAACAATGCCCACGCCCTACTTTGATTCTACACCAGGAGGTTATGGCACTCCGTAACCGTTGCCCGACAGCTGATTACGACGAGGCCTGAGTTGGATCTGATAGGTCACGCTCCCGGGGTTCCACCAGGAGAGCACTTTAGAATGTTCAAAATATTCTGGAAACGCTTTACAAGTGAGCTGTCGCGGACTTCCGCACTTATGGTGTGCTGGACAACAGAGGCAAGTAAGGACTCAGCTTTAAATATGTGTGATCAATTGAAGGTGCCTGGTTATAATATTTAGTGCCAAGCCAATAAAGCATTCCAGTAAAGCTGAAATGCAGAAGAATGCAGGGGAAAAGGAAACGGAATTCAGCATCTTAAAGCACAGTTATTTCAGTTTTCTTTTTCCCCGCTTTCTTCTGCATTACAGCCTAACCCTCATGCTTTATTATAAAACCAGGTTATTTGAGAACAAGGTGGTTGTGTTGCACTGAATGTATTATTTGCGCTGTGGCAATAGCTTAGCTGGACTCTGTCCGAACTCCCTACAATGAGTACAAGGCGTGTGCCAGCCTATCATAAGCAGGGATCTGTCTACTTTTACATGGTTGTCTTTGCTTTGGTCACCTTCAGCATCACTACTAAGAGCTCCATTCACAGTTTTATAGCTTACTGCCCTCCTGTCTGGAGCTATTTTATAACTATTGGTAACGACAGATCTGGGTACTATCACTAATTTATCCTGGAAGACACTTTCCACATTTAACGCATTGTCTGAAATTACTTTTGTGAGTGCCCTAAGTTGAAGTTAAGTTGAGGACATGGACATGTCAACCGTGTAACGAATGAACAGTGCTGCATGCCTCCAGTGCTTTACCGAAACCACAAGCGCCCGGACTAGCCAAACCCTTGCTACGCCTCCCTCCTCTCCACTCCCAATCTTTCTTTTTCTCTCCGTGGCACGCTCGGCGCTCTGCCGTCTGGGCGACTAGTTAGGCGCCTTGGTGTCACCCAGTGTGGGCGGCGGCGATGGTGCGGGTCCGCGGGGGCGGAGGGCGCGCGGACGGCGGCGGGCCGGGGCGGGGGCAGGCGGGGGGCTGCATGACGATGCCAAGGGCGACGACCAGAGCTATGCGGCGAGGCCCCCCCTCCCCCTTCCCCCCTATCCTCATGACGCTGGGCTGGCTGTGCCGGGCCGCCTGCTGTGTCTGGCTTTGCCAACAAGAGACAATGTACTGAAACTTTGGTGGCCGCGGGAGCTGAGCTCCAGCTCCATCCTGGGCTCCAGCAGTGTGCGCCAGCCAGCGGCGCTGCGCTGAGGCCGCCTCCACACCGCAGGGCTGTGCGCGGCGCTCCCGCGGCCGCCCCCAACAGCGCCACGGGGCTGGTCTGACGAGGGTAATGCTTTTCTCATTGCCGGCGCGATGACTCGGGGCGAGTAGCAGCCCAGTACCGTCACACACACTGTGCCGCTGCGAAACGGCGACCTTGCGAGTCGTGC